TTCTGGGAATTTCTTTATCTGAAAGTCAAATTTAATATCACGTATCTCTTCCAGGAATACTAGAAAAAAAATAATCGAAAGTATTCACTCGGAATGCTTTGCATAAGATATTTTTAAATTTATTATTTCCTTTCTCTTCTTTTTTTTTTCTTTCAAAAAATAAATTATCGAATATCAAAAAGATTATTAAAATTTTAATTTATTAAAAATAACATTAAATCAGACTTACTTTTCAAATACGAAGAAAATTTCAAAAACCAAAGAACATATATATATATATATATAATGTCAAAGAAAGGGATTATAGATAGAAATATATCTTATATATCTTATATAGTGGTAAGATAAAAGATCGAGGGAATAATCAAGAGAATATAATTATCTATAATATTTATAATTTACTTTATACTCGTTTATTCGTTCAACGAGGCACTTAGATAATGAGCATCGTTTAATTGTACAACCACGACCAATAATAAGAGAACTTGACGTAATTGCTATTACATTTTCTTCGTGTGAAATGACACACACACACATACACACATACATACACGTTAAAACGATATTTTCTCAAAACTTTTTACTTTTATTTATACACGCTAGTTAACTATCGTGGATAATTTTATTAGTTAACTTTTAATTTTATTTCTCAAGAAAAGATCAGATTGCAATATCAAGAAAGGTCAAATAATCCATCCAGCTAAGCTCCTTGAAAGAATTTACAGCATGATAAATTTTCCTCTGCTGGATCACAGTTTAATACTCACTTTCTGTAAAACACTCTGATCAAACATAATTGTTAAAAATTTTTTGTAACAGTTTGTTGCAATTGCAAATTGTAAATATTTAAAAAAAAAAGAAAAATTAAGTTATAATATAATTATTATATGACAGTGAATAATTAAACATATCACGCAAGATCGTAATGAGATTTGCCCACTTGACACTTATTGCGTGTCGATTAGAATTAATTTATACCTGTTTCACTCGAGAATCGGTTAAGTATCTATTTTTTATTCCTAAAGAAAATAATTTTCTTCTTACCCATTGCTATTTTCGTTGTTACGACAATGAAACTGATGGATGCGCGCCTTCAGTGTTTCTTTCTTCGTTTAATAAGCATTCGCATTAGCAGCGCACGAGGCAGAATAATTAGAAAGCCATATTGCTGAACACATTGGACTTTATTAGTACCAAAGATGCAACCTTCTCCATTATGCAAGACCATTTTTGCACCTATCACGCGTGATGCAGCTGTTCATCCATTGAACGAGACTCGTGAGAGCGATTCAAACAGGTTAATAGATGGATCCCAATCCAAGGAAACGAACATTGATCGTCAAAAATTCATACTGCTATTCTCGAATATCGTATCTCGAATATCGACTTTTATTACATATGCATACAAAGATATCTTAATATTTGGAATAATTGGCTCGAGTGTGAATACTAGAATTTTTTGAAAATTATTCAATTAAACTCTTTATTGGAATTTAGTTTAAATCGATTAAATTTGAATAAATATTTTCTGTTATATATATATA